AGATTTGAAATTGGCGATTTTTCCATTTCATTTAAATAGAGATTGAACAAATCTTTCTTTTTTCTTTCTTTTTCTCAATGAAACTAAGTAACGCCTTTGATATGTCTTTTACATTTTTTCACGCGATCAAGGCGGAATAGTCTATTATTTATGAGCTATTGACAGAAAGACATAAAAATCTCTTTCTTTCACTGAAACCAGGTAGCGTCTCTTATGTGTTTTCCATCTTTCCACGGTGTCAAAAAGGAACAGCCCATTATTTATGAGGTATTGGCTGCCGACGTCATTCCAGTGGCAGCTGGGTCTGCCGTGAGGTTGACTCATGTTTGCAGTTCGTGGGTGGAACTTGGTAGATGACTCTAAGATGGTCATCAGGTTATCCCAGGAGCGATGGTGTCGAGGATGTTCGGCTGGCCGGTCCTCCCACGCAGCTCTTCATTGGACACAAGATCAGGCAAGTGTACCCTCCTTGATGGCCCTGATTACGATTTTTTTTTTAAATCATATTTTAAATTGTAAGAAATCACATCATACAATCATAATTGTTTTGCTTTTGTTTTTGTTTTTGGCTAGAGGTGATCAACTTACAAAAAATTTACATAAGAAATTTGATCCCCTATTAACTTTTATGAAAATTAATAAAAAAATATTTTATTTTTAAATATCCGTGATCAAGATTGCTTAATATATAGTAATATGAAAAGTGATTTCTAAAAAAACAGGATTATTTTTTTTTATCGCAAGTGGTTAGTGTACACCGCCAACAAAAAACTTACACCATCTATTGACAAATGAAGGTAAAATTAAAATTTAACAGTCAGTCAGTTAAATGACATACATTATACTCACTTGGGTGGTCAAGTCTCTTTTGATTCATAACTGATTAGGTAGAAGATTATTTCGCAGTAGGTTACCGTTTATTTCTGCGATAGACTACTTGCTAACCAAGACTAGGAGTAGAGACGGATGCACAAATTTCCCAATGGTGACTAAGTGACTACAATGAAACCGACTGGAATTCGAACCCGGCACTCCAAGCCGCTATCCATTATACAACAACGCACAACCTAAGAATAGTATACAGAAGCGTTATGTAATCAATACTCTTATATGGGGGGGGGGCGGATTGATTGATTGATTAAATCGCTTTCTACGGCTTATCAACCGCTTGCAGGTTATTTAAATCTCGATAAAAAGCAATCTTCATCGGGACCTTTTATATATGAGTAATATTTTGTTGACAAGTCGAAATCAAGCAAATCCTTAAGTTTAAATGTCTCGAAAATGTTTGTAAGTAGTGACGAAAAATATGGTAACGAAATCTGAAGTTGAATTGTAATATCAAGTGAAACTTTCGAAAACTGAAACAAAGAAAATAGCAATAGGTCATTAGAAACAAAGAAAAGTTTACGTTAAGTGTCATATACATAATCGGGCGATCAAGTGTCTTTCGATTCATGGCTGATTAGGTAGAAGTTGTAGGTTGCCGTTTCTTTCCGCGATAGACTGGTTGTTAACTAAGGTTATAGAAACCATTCTGTTCTGCTATTTAATCCATAGCTGGGGAGTATAGACGGATGCATACATTTCCCAATTGCGAGTAAATGACTGTAATGAACCCAGCTGGAATTCGAACTGAATTCTTCTTCTTTATGTGACATGTCCCTTCAGAACGTAGGTGATCATGACTCTCCACATCATCCTGCCTCTTGTAGCTCTTAATAACCTTTGTTTCCCAAACCCTGTTCTATTATCCATTTACATCATCAAATAAGTTACATGCTGCTGTCCTATGTCCTTCTTTTCCTCTATCTGTCCTGTGAGTATCAGATTTTCCAAGCCCCTTTTTCTCATTAAGTGCCCCAGAAATTTCAACTGCTTCTCCCGGAGGTTAAGTTTCCTTTGTGTTTCCATTTTCTCTAACACCTCGTTGTTGCTCATATGTTCGGCCTATATGATCCACAGCATCTTACTGTAGAACCATATTTCTGTTGCTTCAAATTTATTCTTCATCATTGAGGAGATTGTCCAGCATTCACTGCCATATAAGATGATAGATATTTTTTTTTTAAAGTTTCAAAGTAAAGTTTGACATTAAAATAAATTTTATAGTCAATACATTCATTGTTATAAAGAACGGTATATTGTGTAGCGATATCAACATGTTTTTGTTGTAATATATCTTATAATAAAATAATAATATATTGCTCTACTTTGTACTGAGCACCTTTTTTTTTAGAGAAAATGCCACGGACAGCGCAGTTTTACTTTATTCGTTCTTTCTCTCATTTGATATATATATATATATATATATATATATATATATATATATATATATATATATATATATATATATATATATATATATATATATATATATATATATATATGGGCTCCATTTAACAAACCTATATTCAAGCATATGGAAATAAAAGCTGTCGCACGTCTGTTAATAAACGCCACCGCCTATTATTCGATATTAAAACAAGGAAACAAAGAAAAATAGTACTGAACTGATACTTGATATCAGTGAATGTTGGACAATCTCCTCCTCATGTAAGAAAAGACGTGAAGCATCAGAAACATTAGCAACAGAAGGATGTTGAGAATAGCATGGGCCGAACATGTAAGCAATGACGAAGCTCCAGAGAAAATGGGAACAAAGCGGATACTTATACTTAACATCAGGAAGGGCAAATAATGGGGAAAGAGGATTTGTAAAATTTGATACTCACAGGATAGATTGAAGCCAAGAGGGGACAGAAGAAAAGCAACACATAATCTACCTAGCGTGCTTGAGTAAATGGATGGAGAAGCAAGATTTAGGAGAGATAACAAAGAGAAAATTTATTAAGAGCGACAAAATACAATAGATTGTGGAGAAACATGGTCGGCAGCGTCCTTAAGGGAAACGGTGTGTAAAAAAAGCAGACAAGTCTCCGCCGAAGAAACTGAAGTTCTGTAAAGGAAAATGAAACTTTCTGTAGAGGGCAAGTTGTCTTTTTGCTATTTCCCACCACTTCTCTCGCCCTCAGTAGGCCTCGTCTATTTTTAATTCTCCAAACCTTCTTTCCTCTTTATTCTTCCAGAAATTTCATCCGTTTCTAACTGTTAGCAGTAGTTTCCTCACACACACACACACACACACACAACGCACACACACACACACACATACATATATATATATACAAACACACACATATATATATATATATATATATATATATATACTAGCAGCATGGCCCGGCGTTGCCCGTGCTGGATTCAAAAATCTTACGACTCATACAGCAATCGCTATCACTTGACTTAAAATATATTTGCCTTTCCTTGCCTTTAAAGGAGTGCCCTTTGCCGTGCTGATATTGTTACATGCCTTACTTCTTGCCTATATCACACTGCCAACTTTTTCTAAGCTCTATAGTAAACATTAAATCTGTTACGAAAAAAGAACTAAACAAAATAAACACAATACGATCAGCTTTAAAAATCCGGAAAAGACATTTTAAAGAATTGACCGATTGTCGATTTGCACTCTGTTTGGGGGGGGGGTCAGAGTTGAAACTTCATATGATGACTCCCAATGGCCTCTTCATAAATCCGCTCGGTTTTCGCTAAAAACCGACATGCGGTTCAGACGCAATCTGGGCGTATGGGTTTTATCGATTTTCCGCGCTGTTTAGGGGTCCGTGGTCATGAAACTTCTGGACAACACTTCTAATGGTAGACTCTAAGAGGGTGTCAAATTTGGTTGAAATGCGATCATTCCTTCTGTAAGCAGAATTTTTTTTCGATTATCGATTTTTCGGAACCTGATTCCGGACTCAAAAATCGGGCTCCGTCATGTCCTTACGGCTGCCATTTGCAAACCGCATCGAAATTGGGTGAGAAATGCGACCTGGCAGAGGTAACAACGCCCACGACAGACACACAGACAGACAACATGATATATATATATATATATATATATATATATATATATATATATATATATATAGCCGAGTTCGAATTCTAGTCGAATCCATTACATTCACTTACGTGCTAATACCCTTGGGAAAGGTATGAATCCTCTTCCTCTCCCTCCAGCTATGGGTAAAATAGCAGGATAGACTGGGTTATATAGCGTTGGATGGCAACTGGTCTAGGAGAAGGACAACTCTGAATTCAAAACCTGCGGAGGGTCGTTTGGGGACCTTGTGGCACGTAATGCACCAGGTCTCTGTATTCGGCCTTTCAAAAAGTGTGGATGATCCTGCACGAAACCTTCACCACTATAATCAATTATCATGTGCCGTTGTCGAGCTGTCGGTTTCTTTGGAACTGATCTGCTTGACCCTCATACGTCGAATTTCGACGGGAGAGTCGACTATATATATATATATATATATATATATATATATATATATATATATATTATTGGAACACCCTATAGTTACCATTCTCTTACGAATTCCACCTTCCTCGCATGTTCCGCCCATGGTATTCCCAAAACTCCTCGGTAAAGAACACATCTCTGACACGTCAAGTTTCTTCTTCATTTTAAGGAGATAGTCCACCATTTACTGCCAAATAAGAGATCAGATATTATATAACATTTCAGTACGCTTCCTTTTTTTTCTTTCTAAAGATTTTTCCTATCACTTAATACTTTGCTTAATTTCTTATAATTTCCAATCTCTTAATACTTTTCTTAGTTTCTTAATACTTTGCTTAGATTCTTAAAATTATGAGGAGACTCTTCTTTATTTATTATCATATCAAAGATTAGATATCACTTAGCAGTCCCGTGAACTTAGCGTTGTTTGTAAGGACATTTTCTTATCTCTGAATACAGTACTTAGTTTCTGAAATATAATTTCGCTATTCCTCTGAGCTTTGATATTTCTATGCCACGGTCTGGGTTGCCTAACATCAATCTCCTTTCGCCTATGATTCATCCTTAAGATGACCGCAATCTCTACTGAATAAATCAAATTTCTGTAAATGAAACCTGTAGAATGATTATGAGCAACTGGTCTCTTTTATTATTCTTTTATAAGATGAGTAGTGGCTCCTGTTGCACACCGAGGTTTGGTAAATTGAAATTAAACCTTCGGCGAAATGATAGCAAACCATTCTTACCTTTCATTCGTTCGTAAAACGCGTTCAATCTGCATTTGCCAGAGCTAATCTTAGTATATAACTATACAGCTATGGACGGTGTCTCTTCAAATGAAAAACTCAGACTTTTTTTTAACTGGGAATGAAGTGGGAAATAACATTGCTCTCCCCGGTGACCGAAGTAGGTGTTCGAACCCAGGTAACAGACTAGATTCTATATGCTGATTTTATAGATGCCAACTTGTCTCCACATATAAAATTGGCCTAGCACAATTTATTTCATTCTTACTATACTCCATGTTGGCAGAACCAGTCATGCAAATGTCTATAAGAAAGATGGAACCAGTATCAAACTACGGAACTTGAAGAAGGCCAAGACAGCATCCAAAATTGCAATATGACAGACTCTTCAACTATCTGAAGGAGAAATATATGGACAGTGTGAACACTAGATACGATGGACAAAATGAAATGGGAAACTCCGAGTAAGGAACATTAAGATAACGTTTAGTAACATCAGCAATCGAGATTATCTCAAAGGAAAACAAAGAAAAACAAAGAATGGATGAAATTCTTGACATGATGAAAAGGAGACAAAAAGCAATGTAAAGACAGTCAGTCGGTTATATGCCATGCGTGATACACTCTTAGGTCATCATGTATCTTTCGATACATGACTGACGAGGCAGGATTTTTTTCCCGCAGTATGTTGAAATTTCTTTCTGCGGTAGACCAGTTGCCATTCAAGGCTAAAGAACCCGGTCTGCCCTGCTATTTTCCCATAAAAGAGAGAAGAGTAGGATTCATACCTTTTCCGCGGGTATTAGCACGTGAGTGCATGTAATGGATTCGACTGGAATTCGAACTCGGCTCTCCGATTCTTCAATTCGAGCTGCTATCCATTACTCCACCGTATCTTCCTGTAATGTGAAGACACTGAACAGAATATAAGACACTGCAGAAAGAAATCAGGAACAAATGCAGGCAAGCTAAATAGGCGTGACTCAACGAAAAATATAGAGAAATAGAAAGAATTAATATCACAGATACAGCAGATATGCATAAAAAAATAAGAGAACTAACAGGACAAAAGACAGGCTCATCAAAAAATTTCATAAAATCGAAGAACGGAACACTGATATTAGAGAAAGGAAAATACTTCAGAGATGGAACAAATGTACCAGAGACCTCTTCCACGGCTAAAGAGAGCAACCGGTAATATAAAGAAACATCGAACGACCGGAAATATTAAAATTTGAAGAGGAATCTGTACTAGCCAAATTGAATAAAAACAAAGCGGCAGGGCCAGACTGAATTGTAATAGAGATGATTGCAGACTTAGACGATTTTGGTATAGACAAGTTGACAAAAATAATAAATTAAATCTACAACAGCGGTGATATACCAGAAGACCTTAGTAGATCTATTGCAAACGAATGTGAACTCCATCGGGCAATCTATCTAATGAGCCACATAACAAAACTTATCATCCGAATTCTGATGAATAAAACAAGCAGCAAAGAAATAGGATAAGAAAAGTACGGGTTCGTTGAAGATTCTAAAACAAGGAACGCGATATTTATGCTTAGAATATTATCAGAAAGAGCAATACAAAGGCTGAAGGGCGTGTAGGTCTGATTTATGGGTCATGCAAAGTCGTTCGTTAAAGTACGCCACAAAGACCTGAAACTGCCTAGCAACCTTGACATATTTGGGAAAGATATCAGAATAATCAAGAACTGGCAGCAAACCAAAAGCATACGGACAGAAAATGATTTATTTACCCTAAACGTTGAATAAATCATTTTCTGTCCGAGAGAATTAGAAATCTTACTAGCTTCGTTAATGGGGGCCATAATCTTAACAACATTAGCTATACAGATGATGCAGTGTCGAATCTAGACACAGAAAGAAAACTACAAAAAATTATACAGAAAGTAGTGAAAGAAAGCAACAAAGGATTAAACATCAACTGCAAGACACAGCGCATTGTTGTTAGCAAAATGATGAGCCCAAAATGTAAATTGCAAATTGGAGATACCAAAATCAAACGATAAAATTTAAATATTCCGGAAGTGTTTTAACAGATGACGGAACGTGTGACGCTGAAATTCGAAGGCGCATTGGCATAGCCAAAGGTGCATTCCAAAAGCTAAGCAGAAAAAGAGTACTGAACTGCTATGTAATATATGTCCTACTATATGGCAGTGAATATTGGACAATGTCCTCAAGGATGAAGAACAGACTTTGTTATGGTGAAACACACCTATTCTATAGTTAATAGACTCTCCCACCTAATATAAGTGAAAGTAGTAAAAGAAACGAGGTCCAGTCGATGTCAGACGACAATCGAATTCTCTGCCTTCGGGCAGAAAGGAACCCGGACGAGCCTATGCTGAAGAGCAGAGTCTCGTCCGGGAAGGTAGACAGACCCGATCCCGTTTATGCGGGGTCTACGGGGATTTTTTGGCCGAGCCTACGGGCTCGGGAATCCCACATTAAATTCGGCCTTGTGCCACATGTGACTGCGTGGGGCAGTTACTAAATAGCGTCGATGTCGGACGAAAGTAGTCGACAGTTAGTCGAATACGGAAGTAGTCAGCGACCACAACAAGATTACTCTGTGTAATACCTATTATATCAAGTTCCTAACGTTTTGTACGTCGAACCTATTTAGGACCGATTTAGTACAAATACAAGCCTCCACTACGAAATAACTCCACAACAGACTTGAAGGAACGGATGTGTTTCTACAGAAGGATACTAAGAACTGAATATATGAGCAAGGCTTTTGAGAAAAAGGAAGTACAAAGGAAACTTTTACTTAACACCAGGAAAAGATAGTTGAAATTTCTAATGCATATAATGAGGAAAAAAGGCTTAGAAAATCTTATACGCACAGGACAGATTGAAGGCAAGAGGGATTGAGGAGATCAACACATAACGTATTTAGTGAGCTTAAGTAAATGGATGGCGGTACAAGTTTTGGAAGGAATAGCAAAAAGACAAAATTAATTAAGAGCTAAGAATGGCTGGAAATTGTGGAGAGCCATGACCACCAACATCCTGTCGGCGCACGACATATAAAGAAGACCATAGTATGTCTTCAAACAGAGATTTCAAAAGCTGTTTTACTTAATAAGATGTAGGAGAAATTGGCGCAGTAAGATCTTCTCTCTTTTATTATACAGCTTCCTGCGTGTATAAAGTCAGTATTGCAAATATTTCTTCAATCTATCCCAGTCTATCCATGCTTTCATTCGATCTTTCTCAAACTGTTCGAATTCAGCTCAGATTTTCCTATCTATTTCACTCAGTTGATATATATCTATCTATCTATCTATCTATCTATCTATCTATCTATCTATCTATCTTTTTTTCATTATCTATCTATCTTTTCATTATCTTTCTATCTACCTACCTATCTGTCCATCTATCTATATATCTGTCTCATTCTGTTCATATCTATCTATCTGTTTATCAATCTATCTGTGTCAGACTATTCCTATCTAGCTATGTCTCTGTTGATACATATCTATATATCTATCCGAAATCTACACTTTTGACTATTAACATATAGGTATTAAGCTATCAATCTATTTATTCTCTTTTGTGTCTTTGGAGTTTAGTAAATCTCTCTTCAATATCTCCCAGCCTATTCACATGTTTCTTTATTTTATGTCTTTCTTACTTGGTTTTTCAGGCTTGGTTTTATCTATCTATCTATATCTATCTCATTTCTATCTCATTATCTATCTATCTATCTATCTATCTATCTATCTATCTATCTATCTATCTATCTCAGTCTCTTTATTTCTATGTCTTAAGTATCTATCTATCTATCTATCTATCTATCTATCTATCTATCTATCTATCTATCTCATTCTATTCCCCTTCTCTTCTCATCTATCTAATCTATCTATCTCTATTCTATCTATCTATCTATCTATTCTTTATTTTATCAATCTCATTAAGTATTTCTATCTTCTTCTATCTCTATCTATCTATCTATCTCATTCTATTTCCCCCTTCTCTTCATCTATCTATCTATCTATCTATCTATCTATCTATCATCTATCTATCTATCTCAGTCTTTTATTTCTTTCTCATTAAGTCTATCTATCTATCTATCTATCTATCTATCTATCTATCTATCTATCTATCTCATTCTGTTCCCCCTCTCTTCTCATCTATCTATCTATCTATCTATCTATCTATCTATCTATCTATCTATCTATCTATCTCAGTCTCTTTATTTCTATCAATCTCATTAAGTATCTATCTATCTATCTATCTATCTATCTATCTATCTATCTATCTATCTATCTATCTCATTCTGTTCCCCCCTTCTCTTCTCATCTATCTATCTATCTATCTATCTATCTATCTATCTATCTATCTATCTATCTATCTATCTCAGTCTCTTTATTTCTATCAATCTCATTAAGTATCTATCTATCTATCTATCTATCTATCTATCTATCTATCTATCTCAGTCTCTTTATTTCTATCAATCTCATTAAGTATCTATCTATCTATCTATCTATCTATCTCAGTCTCTTTATTTCTATCAATCTCATTAAGTATCTATCTATCTATCTATCTATCTATCTATCTATCTATCTATCTATCTATCTCATTCTGTTTCCCCTTCTCTTCTCATCTATCTATCTATCTATCTATCTATCTATCTATCTATCTATCTCAGTCTCTTTATTTCTATCAATCTCATTAAGTCTATCTATCTATCTATCTATCTATCTATCTATTTCAGTTAAATCAGCTTTTATTTCTTTCTCTGGCATTACGTATCTAAAATCTATCTATCTATCTATCTATCTATCATATCTATCTATATATATATATATATATATATATATATATATATATATATATAATTATATCACTACGTCCTAATCCTCCCAGTCTCTAACTCTCACTCTTTTCATCTATCAATCTATCTATATCTATCTATCTATCTCAATCTGTTAGTACTATCAACATATCTTTTCATATATATCTATATCAATCTACTTAGTTCGAATTTTCTATCTATCTATCTATCTATCTATCTATCTATCTATCTATCTATCTATCTATCTATCTATCTATCTATCTATTTCTTTCAACGCACTCGAGCGTCCATCACCCGAAAAAAAAAAAAAAACCTAA